AACCATCACAAAGTCTAAGATCGACAGGAGAGGCCCAGCTCTCGGTCCCACCATCCTTGCAAGCGGGAATGGTGGAGACAAGAGACAGGGCCTTCTCAGTGGTGGCTGCTCGACTGTAGAACTCTCTACCCAGTGACATTAGATTGGCCCCCTCCCTCTTGTACTTTAGAATGAAACTCAAAACCCGACTATGGGACCAAGCATTCAAACAGTAGAGACAGCAAATTTAGAATGAGACCCAATTTGTGTGAAGGACAATGGACTGACCTGGACTATGATTTCAAACCTGCGTGATTTAAACAATGTTTAGTAATTTTATGTTTTGATTGTTTTTATCATTTATTACTGTTGTTGGTGTTGAATGAATGTCTTTTGTGAAGCTGCCCTGAGTCCCCCTCCAGGGGCGAGGAGAACAGGATACAAATATGTGAAATAAATAAATAGCATCCCTAAGTCAACATAGACAAAAGTGAGAAATGTGGGAAGTTCAACAATAGCTGGAGGCAGGGCCGTAGCCAGAAAAGAATTTCAGGAGGGGTTGAAATTTTCGGTGGGGGGGGGGGTTGAAACCTGCCTCCTAGCTCACGCTGAAGCAAAGAGCACAGCAGGGGGCAGAGCAGGCTTCAATAGCCTGCAGCTCCGCCCCTGTCAACTACCTCCACCAAGTCTGGCCTCCTTAATGAGAGCATTCAACACACACACACACCCAACTTGGTTGCTTTGCTACATCGGCTATTGTTTCAAGTAATGACAGTGTGAATAAACTGTCAATATTTGCTTGAGATAGTGCTTGCAGTTCTGGAGGGACTCTTAATTTTTTGCATCTTCACTTCACTTTATTTCTTAATTATGTCACTCTCTACCAAGGTGCTCCGAGCGGCTTACAACTTAAAATAGCATTTACACAATATAAAACATTCAACATAAAAACATACAACAGTGACTTAGCATGGGGATTTGGTTAACCAGTTAAAATTCATGAGTAAACCAAGTTTTTTAAAAAATCTGAAACATTTCGGGAGGGGGGGTTGAACCCCTAACCCCCCCCCCTCGCTACAGGCCTGGCTGGAGGGCTAGATTATTCCAACCTCAAGATCTCCATGGTGGAAAATAAGGAACTGAAACACTATGTAATATGACTTTTGTTCCTGGGTTATAAATGTCATTTCCTAATTAATTCTATCCTTAAAATATGGAAAAAGTTTTTTAAACTGCAAAAACATTTGTTTTTACAGCACATTTTGCTATAGTTTTACAATTAATATCAAAAATCTAATAACTACTTTCAAAGTAAATAAAAGATAAAGGTTTCACATTTTACATTAAGTCTAGTTGTGTCCAACTCTGGAGTGTGGTGCTCTAAGCTGAAGAGCCAATGTTGTCTGTAGACACCTCCAAGGTCATGTGGCCAGCATGACTGCATGGAGTGCCGTCACCTTTCTTCTGGAGTGGTACCTATTGATCTACTCACATTTGCATGTTTTCAAGCTGCTAGGTTGGCAGAAGCTAGGGTTAACAGGAGCTGACTCTGCTCCCCAGATTCGAACCGCTGACCTTTTGGTCAGCAAGTTCAGCAGCTCAGCAGTTTAACACACTGCACCACTGGGTTAAATACAGCACAATTGAACAGAAAATAACACTTTCAAACCAGGAACAGATTATTTTCCCCCAAATTTTGTTACAATCAGCCCTCCACATAGAGGTTAGAGTTGCAGGTCCCCTGTAACAGTGGGAAAACTGCAAATAAAAACCCACTATTTCAAACCTAAAAGAACATTTTGCTAGGAATCTCCAGGTTTTCCAGCATAACTCTGATCAACCTCCACCAAAAGTTGACCATAGGGTCACACTAGAGGACCTAAAGATGCCTAGATTGACTATGGATGAGATCCTTTTGGTGGTGGCCCCACACCTCTGGAACGCCCTTCCTAGGGAAATAAACAGGCCCCATCCCTCCCCTCCTTTCGTAAGAGCTTGAAGACCTGGTGGTTTCAACAAGCCTTTGAGAATAACTAGTTCTAGCTCAGCCCTAGACATTGTTGAATATGGCCTTATTTTTCCTACCAGTTACCGAAGTCACTTCCTCTAACTGGCCCCGGAAATGAACAGCCTAGACTGTACCTGTTATTGTTGTTGCCTGCTATAGCACTGCAATTAATTTCCTGGGCCCTCTAGATATTCTGAGCTTGCTCTAGCCTCAGCCCAGCTTTTAAATTGCCTTGAGCAGGCAGGATTATTTTATATATATGTGCTATTGTGACAATTTTATGCTTATATTGTTAATTTTATGTTTATGTTGTTTACTTTGTATGTTTTGATGATGTTACTTGGAAACCGCTCTGAGTCCCCTCGGGGAGATAGAGCGATATATAAATAAAGTTTTGTTGTTGTTGTTGTTGCTCCTGCAGAATTCTGGGAAATGTAGTTTAGGGCTGGGCCTTTGGAATTCTTGTTAATGTAAGATTAGTGTAATATGAATGTTTAAATGTAATTTTGTGCAATGCCTGTGAATGTAACCTGATTGTATTAGCAGAGAGTGTATTGATTCTGAAAGGGTTAATCAGTCAAGCCTCTAATGAACTGTGAAGTTGTGACCCTGAGTGTGCCTGGAACCAGAGATAAGATTTCGTTCGTCCTTCTCACTTTGGTGCTTTTGTTTTGTTGCTGTCTTTTTGATTGGGTGTCAACGCAAGTGTGTGCTGTATATTTGCTCTACTCAGTAAAGATATACGTTTGCTTTTACTGAAGTTTCAAAGTGTCCATTCTTCTAAGCTCCAAAGCTTCTGTCGCACTCTGACAATTCTTGGATAGAACAGTCCTGGCTTCCCTAAACTACATTTCCCATAATTCTGTAGGAGTAAACTGGGAAATAGGGAGACGAAAGCCTCCGTTCTATAACACTAATGTGATCTCGCCCTATGTTAATCAACCACAAGTCATAGAATCATGGAGTTGGAAAAAACCTCAAGGGCCATCTAGTTCAACCTCATTATGCCGTGTAGGAACACAGAATCAAAGCACCATCAACAGATGGCCATCCAACCTCTGCCATGCTCCAAAGAGGCAGCATACTCTGCAGATAAACAACTCATACCATGAGGAAGTTCTTCCTAATGTTTAGGTGAGGATATTTTTTCCTGCAATTTGAATTGGTTGCTCCTCTTCAATGTGACATCCTTTCAAGTATTTAAACATGGCTATCATGTCCCTTCTCAGGTAAGCTCAGCTAAAACTCAAGGCTTGTGTACCTAAGCAGACCTGAACCGGACTCATTAGAAGCAGAACAGAGGCAGATATAATCCGTGGAAACCTCTTCCTTCCCACAGTTTGGAAAAAATAAATAAAATGCATTGTCAAAGTTGAGATGTTTTCCTTGTCAAGAGAAACAGACATTGACACCGCACTTTATGTCTGGCTCCAAGGGAAATTGGGGAGGCAAGACAGATTTCCCCATTCATACTAGAATACTGTTTCCCTGCCTCAGGCAAGACTTTCTTTCTCTGCCTCTCCTTTTGTAGAAAGGGACGGATACAGAGTAAGAGTGGGACAAATACAGACCTCCAGGGGTGAAGAATCAGTGTAGTTTGATGCCACTGTGACTACCATGGCTCCAAGCATGGAATCCTTCCTGGGAGTTGTAGATTTATAAGGTCTTTAGCCTTGGGTTGCTGTGAGTTTTCCAGGCTGTACGGCCATGTTCCAGAAGCATTCTCATCTATGGCAGGCATCCTCAGAGGTTGTGAGGTCTATTGGAAATTAGGCAAGTGGGGTTTGTATATCTGTGGAATGTCCAGGGTGGGAGAAAGAACTCTTGTCTGCTGGAGGCAAGTGTGAATGTTGCAATTGGCCACCTTGATTAGCATCCAATGGTCTTGCAGCTTCAAAGCATGGCTGCTTCCTGACTGGGGGGAATCCTTTGTTGGGAGGTGTTAGATGGCCCTGATTGTCTCCTTTCTGGAATTCCGCTGTTTTTTGAGTGTTGTTCTTTATTGACTGTCCTGATTTTAGAGTCTCTAAAAAAATACGGGTAGTCTTCTTTGCCACAGAGTGATAATGCCTCCCTCTTTCCAGGTCCTATATCCCAGGAACTGATCCCAGGTTTTCTGCTTTACACTGGACTATATGAGTCCCCACTGCAAGATAATCTGAAATAAACAGAAAACCTGGGATCAGATCCTGGGATATAGGACCTGGAAGGGCTCCTAGTTACATAAAAGAGGAAATGTCAAACAGTAAAGCAATCTGGGTTGTTGTAGGTTTTTTCGGGCTGCGTGGCCATGGTCTAGAGGCATTCTCTCCTGACGTTTCGCCTGCATCTATGGCAAGCATCCTCAGAGGTAGTGAAGTCTGTTGGAACTAGGAAAAAGGGTTTATATATCTGTGGAATGACCAGGGTGAGACAAGTGAAACAATCAATACCATCTGAAAGCCACTCTTCCATACAGCTATGATTTTTATACAGAAGCTGGATGGCCATCTATTAGGAATGCTTTGATTGTGTTCCTCTATGGCAAAAGGGGGTATGTTGGATGGGGATGGCCCTTGGGGTCTCTTCCAACTCTATGAATCTAAGGCTGGATCTACACTGCTCTATAATCCAGTTTCTGAATGTAGATTAATTGCATTGCAGTGAAGATCCAGAACTGGGAGGACCAAAGGTTTCAAATCACTGCATTAAAGGCAGTATAAGGTGAAAAGGGTCCTAAACGATATTTTGGTTCTTTCCCTTTAAATTGCCAAGGAACACTGGGATTTGGAGTCTTTGCTGGAGTAATCAGAACTCTCAGAGCGAGCTCGGACTCAGGCGCCACACTACAACTCCCAGAAACCCACGGGGCAAACATAGTAGACCCCCACAGAGCGACTAACTGTGCACACGTGTGAAAGGTCCTCCTCGTTGCTGAACAGCTGTCACTTGAGCTGGAGAGACACAATGGTTTTAATGCACAGTCTTAAAAAATAAATGAGTCTTGAGACAGGCGCGCCTTGGCCAGGCCTACCTTGTATGGCACGGAAGGACCTTCCTGGGTCTCGCAGCGCTGCGGCAAGGAAAGGGTGCGCGGTGGGGGCGTGGCTAAAGGGCGGCGGGGGCGTGGCTAGTGGGCGGCAAAGCAGCACAGCCGGACATGGAGAGGAGGGGGCAAAAGAGAGGGAGTTCGCAAAGCACCACGGGAAAAGAATGCGAGCTTTGCATCTCTGTGGAGGAAGTCTATGGGAAAGGAGGCTGGAGCGCCTTTGAGTCTCAGCGGGCATCTGCACTGTCCAATTAACTGCAGTTTGATGCCTCTTTGACTGCCTGGCTCATTGCTATGGAATCCTGGGCTTTTGTAGTTTGATTGTGGCAAGTTCTTGGTGGGATGGGCATACCAAATCACTTTGTCTCTCTCCTGAGGAATCTGTACAAGGACCAAGTAGCAACAGTCACAACTGAACATGGAACAACAGGCTGGTTCAAGATTGGGAAAGGTGTAGGGCAGGGCTGTATCCTCTCACACAACCTATTCAACTTGTATGCAGAACATGTCATGCGATGTGCGGGGCTTGATGAATGCAAAGCTGGGGTGAAAATTGCTGGAAGAAACATTAACAACCTCAGATATGCAGATGACACCACTCTGATGGCTGAAAGCGAGGAGGAACTGAGGAGCCTTCTAATCAAGGTGAAAGAAGAAAGCGCAAAAGCTGGGTTGCAGGTAAACATCAAAAAAACCAAGATTATGGCAACAAGAATGATTGACAACTGGACAATAGAGGGAGAAAATGTGGAGGCCGTGACAGACTTTGTATTCTAGGTGCAAAGATTACTGCAGATGCAGACTGTGGCCAGGAAATCAGAAGACACTTACTTCTTGGGAGGAGAGCAATGTCCAGTCTCGATAAAATAGTGAAGAGCAGAGACATCAGACTGGTAACAAAGATCCGCCTAGTCAAAGCCATGGTATTCCCTGTAGTAACCTACGGATGTGAGAGCTGGACCTTAGGGAAGGCTGAGCGAAGGAAGATCGATGCTTTTGAGCTGTGGTGTTGGAGGAAAGTTCTGAGAGTGCCTTGGACTGCGAGAAGATCCAACCAGTCCATAGTTCAGGAAATAAAGCCCGACTGCCCATTGGAGAGAAGAATAGTAGAGGCAAAGAGTTGTAAATGACTGAATGAATGAATAACAACAAGTTTGTGCTTCTTTTCAGCCCTTCCAAGCAACAACAGCTTAGACTGGGGAGGAAATGTGTGCAGAAAAAAAGGAGGTTTTGCATTGGTTTTTCTCAATGCCACATGAAGGTGCAGCTGGGAAAGGCGTACGGCAGGGTTGTATCCTCTCATCCAATCTATTTGTTCTGGAACAGCTGTTCCAGGAGCTCCAATTTTGTGCTTTGCACTGTGTGTTTGTTTATAGTTCTAAGTTTCAGGGACTCTGCAGATAGGTGGCTTCCTTTGGCTGCATTCATAGGGCAAGCCACCTGTCAATTATCATTGGGTTCCCTGGTTCTACCCCCTTTCTAGGCTTTGTAGGGAAGGGAGCCTTTTCCAGTCAGTCACAGCAAGGTTAACCAATGTATAGGATGTGTTTACTTCCCCTGTACAAAGGCTTCAACCTTTAAGAGCTCCAGGGAAAGAACACCAGGTAAGCATTCCCACAGCTTTAAGGGTCTCCTACAGCTTTAAGGGTCTCCTAAGAACTCCAGGGATTCCTTCCTATAGCCTTGGGAGTTTCCAGGAAGACAGCCAACTCTAAAGAACATCCCTCGCCTGTCTGGTAGGTCCTTTCAGCACTCGAGAAGCAGTTCGGCCTGGCAGAGGAGCCCATACCAGTGAGGGTTGGATTTTAGTTAACCTTGGGAAAAGTTAAAAAGGGGAATTTTCCTTTGAAGAAAGTTATTGAAGATAGTGCCTGTTTCCTGTGGACAAGCTTGAGAGAACTGATACTTTACCAAGAAAGCTTTACAATTCCTGTTTGATTCATTAATAAAATACTTTGTTGTACCTTTTAAGCCATTTGAAGATTCCTTTTGTAAAGGAAGCCTCTGAGAACTTTTCCTAGGGCCCCTGGTTCCCGCTGGGTAAAGGTTACACATCCTATATCTAAAGTCAACTAGCTATAGGCCCAGCGGCGACAGAACACTATTCAACTTGTATGCAGAACACATCATGCAATGTGCAGGCTTGATGAATGCAGGCTAGGGTTAAAACTGCTGGAAGAAACATTAACAATCTTAGATATGTAGATGATACCACCTTGATGGCCGAAAGCGAGGAGGAACTGAGGAGCCTTCTAATCAAGGTGAAAGAAGAAAGTGCAAAAGCTGGGTTGCAATTAAACATATATATATATAAAATAAAATTATGGTAACCAGACTGGTTAATAACTGGGAAATAGAGGAAGAAAATGTGGAGGCCGTGACAGACTATTTCTAGGTGCAAAGATTCCTGCAGATGCAGACTGCAGCCAGGAAATCAGGAGATACTTACTTCTTGGGAGGAGAGCAATGACCAATCTCAGTAAAATAGTGAAGTGTAGAGACATCACACTGGTAATGAAGATATGCCTAGTTAAATCAATGGTATTCCCTGCAGTAACTTACGGGTGGGAGAGCTGGACCATAGGGAAGGCTGAGCGAAGGAAGATAGACGCTTTTGAACTGTGGTGTTGGAGGAAAGTGCCTTGGACTGCGAGAAGATCCAACCAGTCCATACTTCAAGAAATAAAGCCCAAGAGCTCACTTGAGCTATGCAGATATTAGAGGCAAAAATGAAGTATTTTGGCCACATCATGAGAAGGCAGGAAAGCTTAGAGAAGACAATGATGCTTTGAAAAATGGAAGGAAAAAGGAAGAGGGGCTGACCATGTTTTTGTGGTTTTAAATTGTATATTGTTGATTGTTGTACCTTTGTTGTAAACCGTGTTGAGTCGCCGTTAGGCTGAGAAACTGCGGTATACAAGTAAAGTAAATAAATAAATAAATAAAAGATGGATGGATGCTATCCTTGAAGTGACTGGCTTGACCTTGAAGGAGTCGGGGGTGGTGATGGCCAACAGGGAGCTCTGGCGTGGACTGGTCCATGAGGTCACGAAGAGTTGGAAGTGACTGAATGAATGAACAACAATCAGAACACCTTGGCAGAGAAGGCTAAAGACCATGTAAACGACAACAGCCAGGACTTCATAGCAAAATGATGTTATAGTGTAGAGCAGTGGTTCCTAACCTCTGGTCCTCCAGTTGTTTTGGACTTCAACTCCCAGAAATCCCACCCAGTTTACCAGTTGTTATGAAAGTTAGGAGCTGAAGTCCCAAACAACTGGAGGACCAAAGGTTGGGAACCACTGGTGTAGAGAATGCACCCAAAAGGCAGAGCAATGCAAGCATTCAAAGGCGATCAGCACTGTTTCCTTGGGGTGCATCTACACCAGGCATGGTCAAACTTCAGCCCACCAGGTGTTTTGGACTTTCATAGCATTCCATAGCAATGTCGCAGTGTAGAGATACACCAAAAAAGCAGAGCAATGCAAGGATTCGAAAGCAATTAGCACTGTTTCCTTGGGATGCATCTACACCAGGCCTGGTCAAACTTCGGCCCTCCAGGTGTTTTGGACATTCATAGCACTCCATAGCAATGTTGCAGTGTAAAGATGCACTGAAAAGGTAGCTCAATGCAAAGATTCAAAGGCTATTAGCACTGTTTCCTTGGGATACATCCACACCAGGCCTGGGCAAACTTTGGCCCTCCAGGTATTTTGGAGATAATGTAAATTATACCCTAGTCCCTATTCACATACAGTGGCATGGGAACAACATCCCACAAGACTGAGAAGGTGCATTCATGAATATTGCAGCCTCAGTGGCAGGAAAATATTATATAGTGTAAAATCACATGTATCAATACAAACACCAAAAATCATGGGAAAACAGCTTTGGTAACTAACACCACCCACCACCACTCCCAAGTCGTAAATTTTGAAGTGAAGGCTGTCATCATGACAGTCCTAAGGGTAAAATCCCAACATGGATATTTTGATGCAAGATTGTTGATTCGTATCAACAAACGCAGGACTTCATGTTTTCACCAGAAGCAGGTCATTTTGAAAGCTTTGTTATAGTTGTGCCTTCAAGTCATTTCTGATTTGTGATGACCCTAAAATGAATTAGTCATGGGATTTTCTTGGCAAGATTTGTTCAGAGGGGGGTTCTATTGAGAGAGTATGACTTGTCCAGAGTTACTCTTTGGGTTTCCAAGGCTAAGCGGAAATTTGAAACCCTGGCCTTATCTACACTGCCATATAATAAAGTTTGAAACTGCATCATTTGGTCAGTGAAGAGAGTCATATATAGCAACTTCAAACAGCCCATGAGTGTAGATGGGGTGTGGCCTTCTGAAGTCCTAGTTCAGCATACAAACCACTACAAATGCTAGCTCTTACTGAAGCTGAAGGGGTCATTATTGTCATTTCATGGCCAAGCCAAAACCAAATGCTTTGGATTAAAATAAGGACAGCAAAAGGCCATTTTTGCTCCATTACTTGAGCATTTCAGCAAAACTCAGAAACAATAGAGGAGATGGGAGAGAGGTTAAAAAAGGGAAATGCAGAGAGCATGAATAAGGTCCTGGAGCTTCAACTCCACAGGTCCTGGCACCCCTGTACTCAGTGTAGAGGAGGTCACAGCAGATGGCTGAAATAGAACAATTTTGGGCGACGTATTAAAGTGGTTGTCGGGCCATGAACTGAAGACAAGCTCCAGCAAGAACCTATTACTAGTGCAGTGGCAAATGGAATTACAGAGAGGAAAGGCTGCCATGAAAAAGCAAGCATAAGAGAAAGAAATCTCTGTGTTGCAAAATAGGATGCCTCATTCGTAAATCTCTCACCCCTTGTCTAACAATGGAGCTCATTTAACGGTCTTAGAAATCAGAAAATATTGCAACTGCTCAAAAGCTATACAAAGGCACGCTAAGTAATATTTTTGCAAGTGAGGGGCCAGGCTGATGACGTGTGGACCCTCAAGCAACTTTTGTCAAAAGCGCAGCAAATCTGTAATCACAACCACACAATGGCAACGACAGAAGCTAAA